CGTACGGCGTGATGAGGCCGTTGGGCTCCACCGGTTCCTCCCACTTCAGAAATATCATGTCCTCCAGCGGGGTGAAGGTGAGGGACTCCGAGGCAATGCCGCCGGGCACTGGGGAGGGAAAGGGGACGTGCTCAGATGCAGCAAGAAACCGGGCTGGAAGGAGAAATCCTTTGGGAAACCCCTCCAGGCGACTGCCATAGCTCTTCTCTGCAAGCGAGCCACCCCATCCCCTCTGTCATGTCACCCAAGGCACGTGTCCCCGGACGGGGCCGGTGGCTCCGCAGGGCGATGCTCCCCATGGCAATGACGCTCCTGCCGTGCTCCCGGGGCCGCTGGTGGCACTTCGCCATGGGGCGGGATGTCCCCACGCCACGGCACGAACCCCACGGGTACCGTTTCTGGCATGGCACACTCAGTTTCCGACAGCGCAGGTCCCTACGTGCCGTCGCCGGCAGAGCTCATCCAAGTTCACCAGTGCGAGAAAACGCTCAAAAAAAAGAATTCCCTTTTCCCATACAACCCAAATTCCCTCCCGGAGCCACCGGAGTCCTCAGGAGACGTTGCTGGTGCTCCCCGCAGCGAGCAATAACATCCTCATCTGCGGACAGGCTTGACGCGCCCCGGCCTTCCCCTCTAATTAACGCCACCAATAATAATAACGGCAAACGACAACAGCGATCGACAGCGCCGGGATCAATATCCGCTTCTTTCCTCTGGATATTTCGACCCGACGGGGGGTCAGTGAGGAGGAGGAGGAGAGGTGACATCTCGGCAAAGACCACAAGTCACCAGCAGCATCCTCTGCTGCGGGTTTGGGCGCCCGGAACACGCACCTTCTCCTTGCGTCCCTCTGCTCTTCCCCTCGTTTTTCTTTCTTTTTTTATATTTTTTTTACAGCTTTTGTTCAGTTCTAATTACGAGGCCGACAGGCAGAGGCATCGCCGCCCTCCGCGCGCTTCCCGCCGCGCGAACACACCGTTTCCGCTCGATTTACAAGTTAATTTCATCAGAGGCGCCGTGTCCTACACGTGTACACACGGCGCTTAATAAATCCACAGAGAATTACGGAAGCCTTTAGGGCGAGAACGTGTGTACTCACATTTTTATACATACAGCCTAAATATTTTGATATCTATATGGGAATGGGCACTACGCGCTTGCGCGTGCACCAGGCTGAGACGGGCACAGGCACACAACGGCTTCCCAGGTGCGTGTATACCCCTCTGCCAGCCCCATATGCACATACATTTGTATTTCTTTATGGATTTATATATATTTATTCTGGCTAGTGCTGTCTGCAAGGCAGAGAACTGGCTCCCTGCACCTCTCCCAGCATCAACACGTCGCAGTATTTCCATAGGCACCTGGGACTGAATCTGAGCGTTTCATGCAGACATAGTCCAAATCACAGAATCACAGAATGGTTTGGCTTGGAAGGGACCTCAAAGATCATTTAGTTCCAACCCCCTGCCATGGGCAGAGACACCCTCCTCTACACCAGGTTGCTCAAAGCCTCATCCAACCTGGCCTTGAACACTTCCAGGGATGGGGCAGCCACAGCTTCTCTGTGGCCAACCTGCTCCAGTGCCTCACCACCCTCAATGCAAAAAATTTCTTCCTTAGATCTCATCGAAATCTCCCCTCTTTCAGTTTAACGCCATTGACCCGTGTCCTGTCACTCCATACCCTTGTCCAAAGCCCCTCTCCAGCTTTCTTGTAGCCCCTTTAGGTACTGGAAGGTCTCCCCACAGCCTTCTCTTCTCCAGGCTGAACAGCCCCAACTCTCTCAGCCTGTCTCCATAGCAGAGGTGCTCCAGCCCTCACATCATCTCCGTGGCCTCCTCTGGACCCACTCCAACAGCTCCATGTCCTTCTGATGTTGGGGACCCCAGAGCTGAACGCAGCACTGCAGGGGGGTCTCAGGAGAGCAGAGCAGAGGGGCAGAATCCCCTCCCTCAATCTGCTGCCCACGCTGCTTTGGATGCAGCCCAGGACACGGTTGGCTTTCTGGGCTGCCAGCGCACGGTGCCGGCTCATGTTAAGCTTCTCACCACTCAACACCCCCAAGACCTCCTCCAGGCTGCTCTCCATCCATTGTCTTTCAGCTTGTCACACCCTCTTTGCTGCCCCATCACCATCACCTCCTTGTGCTGTGACAACTCAGCTGCCTTTCAAAGACCACTGAGCAGCCTCCAAATGTTGCCACTCTGAAAGCTGGTCCTGTGGCCGGTGGGACAAGGGGGTCTCATCCTGCTCCGTGGAGGGCAGCAGTGGGGTGCTGAGTGTGGCATCCCCAGCTCTGGCAGTCACCCGCGCTCACAGTTAAGCAAGAACATCATTAAACTCCGAAGCGCTTTTTAGCATCAAGAATCAGCAACTAAGGTGGAAGAACTGGTAATTATAAAGGATCCAGCCGCCTCCAGATCCCCTAGACACCGACCAAGGAAAAGCCTGTTGGGAAATCTGCCTGCGATGGACTCCCCGGATCTGGGACACCTTTTGTGCAACTGTCGCTCATCGCTCCCGTTTCCCAGCCCGGAAAGCGAAGCGGAGCTGGGCGGCTGCGGCAGCGCCACGAATCCGACCCACATCTCTGGATCCCACTTTCATCTCGAAAACCCAAATTCCACGCTTTTCTCTGTGCACCCGTCAGCGCTTTCTGTATCCCCAACCCGACCGGGGCACCCGCCTTCACGCTCCCGACGGTTTATTTTCCAGCTCTCGTTGCTTCAGCCGGTCTCGCTGTGCTGTGACTGCTCCAGCTGTTTCCTTATTGAATATTAATACAGGAGCTCCAGATGTTTTGTTTTTTTTTTTCTTTTTGCTATACTGTAATCGCTCCAGCTGCTTTCCCCTACGCCTCGATGAACCAGGGCTTGGGGCTTCTTCCCCCTTGGATTGAATTTGGGGCCATGTGGATGTTTGGTCCAGGGTGGGATCAAGCGATGGATATCCACCTACAGGGATACTGCAAATATTACACATGGATCTGGCCCAGCATCTCCCGCCCTGGGAGGGTGACGAGGATTCGAGCTCCCATAACTGGGTGATGAGCAGCCACCCACACAATTAAACGAGGGTCACAAAAGCTCATTAATAACAAGACCCTTGATTGTGGTTTATCTGGGCAGGAGGCCGGTGTCCATCACAGCATCTGCTGATGCAGCACCAGGGTGTGTCCAGGGAGCGAGGGGAGCCTGGGGTGGGCTGCACCCCCGTTCTGGGCAACAAACACTGGTTTGGGGCTGGAAAACCCAAATCAAAGGGCATTGTTCCCAGCATCCCCCTTGGGCCCTGGGTAAAGTCCTGCTGGCTCCTGGGTGCGTGAGCAGGGCACAGAGAAAGGAGAGTGCCCCATCCATAGGTTGCCCAGCTGGTGTTTCAGTGCTCCATATAGATCTGAGGATGCTCGAGAACGTGGGTGACCTGCGGCTGGAGACCCCCCCTGCAGTGCTGCGTCCAGATGTGTGGCCCCCAACATCAGGTGGACATGGACCCAAACCATTCTTGGTTGATTATTGGGAGCTGCCAGCCCCGCATGTGACCCATCGCTGACGGGTGGCACCAGAGACATGGAGCCAGCTCTGCCCTGCAACTCCTGCCACCTTCACCAGATCTCCAGCACCCAAATCGACCCGAGCACTTTGCTGACGGAGAACCACAGCTGCGGATCATGGGGCAGGATAAGGCCAGACACAGGAGACCTCTCCGGTGGGCCCAGCTCCAGGACATCCTCAGGGAAGGGGCAGGGGAGGAGCAAGAGATGTCAAACCCAGGAGTCCTGGAGCAACACTGGAGCCTCCAGCCAGGATGTCAGCCCTGCTCGGTGCCAGCAGCGGGGATCCAGCCCTGGGGCACGGCCAGGACACAGAGAAGGGAAACAGCTCGGCTGTTCAGGAGCAACATCACTGGAAATAACCAGGACCAGACACCCCTGACCACCCCCTGCTCACCCACAGAGCTCGTCTGAACAACCCAAACCCACCTGAGAGCAAACTTGACCGAGGAAGAGCTCTGCTTGAAGGACGAGGGCGGCGTTTCTGCAGTGACACCCCCACATCCAGGCCTCTCGTTCTCCCCCACGGTGCTCCCAGCATTTCCCCTCCCCCACCACAGCCATCACCCCTTTCTCTCACCTCCCCAGCAGCGTGATGGCTGCAGGAGATATTCCCATCATGCCCCTGGCTGGATGCACACCGTGCCCCAGGAAACACCCTGGCAGCTCACCAGCCACAGAATCCCATTTTTTGGGGGACAATGCACCTTCCTGAGCGGACTCACCATCCTCATCCGTTTGGAATATCACCTCCTTGCCCTCCTTGCGACCCTCAGGGTTGGAGAGGATGAGCTTGACGTGGATGTTCTTGTAGGGCAGGAGGTTTTTGATGGTGTAACGGTTGGCGTTACGCTCCATCTTCACGCATTCCCGGAAGGTTTGGTTGTGACCGGTACCCACGAAATAACGGTAGCAGAGAGAGACGGTGTAGGTGTGACAACGGGTCAGGTTGTAACCCAACGGCTCCCACTGCAACGTCAGCTGCCTGGACTGGATTTCGGAGAACGCCAGGCCTTTGGGGGCTCGCATGGGCTCTGCGGGGGGGAAGAGAGATGGGGAGAGATGAGCCACGAAGCAAAACACTCCGTGGGTTTATGTGTATTACCAGGAAAAGCCCTTTTACAGCACACGAACAGGAGCGGCGGGTGCGGATGGCAACGCTGACGCCAAAACTGGGACCAGCCCTGGCACAGGACGCTGGTGCCCAGCAGAC